CTGAAGAGAGAGAGGAGAAAAAAAAGAATTTAAGAACAGTCTTAAAGGAGACAGGGAAAAATGAGAAAGAAAACAGAGAGGAGTCTGTAAAAGAAAAATGGATTGGCATGTGGGGTAAGAGAAAGCAAGAGATGGGGAAAGAACAACACAGCAGAACTGACTGAAGTGGGATTTGAAAGGGAAACTTCAAATATCCCAAGGTCTCAGCATGTGGGCTTTTTTTTTGAAACACCTTCACAAGGAAAGGGAGGCATTTTGTTTGCAATGTTTTCACAAAAGAAAAAGTATAAATCTGCCAAAACCAATAAGCTGTCTTGTAACATGTGCTTATTAGAATAAAGTAAATATGGGTATGAACTCAGCTTGATTTCATTAGTATGCATTTGCAATAACAGCAACAACAGCAGCAAAACCAGCCAAGTTTTTTAGAGGAAGTGGTAAGAAAGAGGGGTCGTATATGAAGAAATAAAGATTTTTTTTCTAGAAAGGAAAAAAGAAAGACTTTGAAAGAGAGGGGAAAAAAGAAGATATAAAGTTAGGAAAAAATGAAATGCAAATATGACACTAGGGAGGAGGGGAGGGAGGGGGTGGAAGAAGATAAAAAATGTAGTCTAATCACCTACCAATCCATTTTTTAATTTATGAATTCGCTCATCCATCTTAATCTCATCACAATATCACATCTGAATGCCTAAAGGCCAGAAAGGGTTTAATTTCATCCCTCCTCCCCAACAGGCAACTGAGGGATGATGACATCAAGTCATTATTCCTGTTTAACAGTTTTCCTCTGCTTTTCCTATGATAGAGAAAAAACTGATCTGCAATGGAGCCTTCAGTACATGGATCCCAATTCAGCAAAATCTGCTTTTAGAAGGGTGCACCATTGCCCTGGGTTGTTTACCTGCACTGTGAAAACAGACCAGCCAATGTAGATGGCATGGATCTGTGTGACTTCTCCTTGCTTCTCTCCCTTCTCAAAAGCCCACATAAATCACATTGCAGACACCACCTGTACTACTTCTTTGTTTTCTGATAAGAAAATGTTGTCCCTGTCCTTTCACATGCAGACAGGCTGAATACTAGCATGGCCTCTCAGGATGGAGATGAGCAAAGTTTTAGGAATGAGACAAGACCCTCTGACCTCTGAAATGCTTATGTCAGGACCTCTGGATTTAAACGTGCCCATGCTCTTTTCCATTGTGCTTTGCCCAATAATTGATATTCATTATGGTTACTTTGGCCAGTGTAAAGTCCTCTTGAGTCATTGCAAAAGCATAGGCATTGGGAATTGTTTCATTTTAGGTTGGAATGGTAGTTTGAAAATAATGAAGCACTTAGCTAAAAAGTTATATTAATATGCAGCTAATTTATTTTTTTAATAATCATGGATAGTAAAAAACAGCTGCACATTCATTTAGAAACCAAAGTTTGGGTTTTTTTAATAACACTTAAGTCCCATGATTCTATGAAGGATTTGTCTGACTGATTAATGAACAGCATTATTTGTACACCTACCAAAGCTCCAATGACCTCCCATACAGATGTCCTCAAATGAGAAACAAACAGGATAAGAAATATTGAGAGGAAGAGGGATTGTCCTTGTGATATTAATGAAATGAAGGCTGAGCATTACAATAAGGAAGACAATAAATAAATAGAGATAAAAATAATCCCAGGTTATAATCCTATTATAAACTCTTCCAGAATATAGAACTTTTCCCCAGACCTTGCAGGAAGGTGGGAAGTCATATTTCAAGAAAAGATAGGTACAGTGTGGCATCTTCATTGACACTTATTTTATTTTTGAGATTAACTGAAATTAATCAGAATAAATTAACACCATGGTGCTGTCAGATGCAAGGAAGGTCAAAGGCTTCGTGATCAGTGCTAGAAAACTGGCAACAGAGAAAATTAGAGCTTTAGTGGCAGTTATAAGAATATCTGTTCTGGGATCCCTGGAGCTGGCAGTGCTGCCTTGTGTATCTCTGCGGAGAGGCAATTAGCACTACAGAGGACACTGAAATATCAGAAAGAAAAAGGAAGACTCCATGGTTAGCAGAAGAGAGATATTAATATTAGAGATATCAGAGTTCCTATCCACCACCCAACTGCTGGTTTGGTCAGGTCCAGACCAAACCCAGGCAAAAGAAAAGACGTAACAAAGCAGACCAGCAGCTGAGACCCAGAATGTCTGTGGTAGCTCTCCTTTCTGATTCACATACTGGAAGACTAGTAGGGACAAATTTGCCAGCTTCATGAAGATGCTACTGAGATTGCAACCAGAAGTCCCTTAATTTCTGCACAACAAAATACTGCTTTTCCTGGAAGGAGAACTGTGATGAATTCTGACCTAGAAAAGCAAGCAACATGGCACAAAAAACCCAAAAGTTGGAGGAGGGAAGGCTTGGGTTTTGTGTAGTCAGTATGCACTAATCACCTTTTTCATCATCCTTACAATGATCTTGGTGCTGTCATAGCTACTAGCCTTATACAAACTGCAGATAGTATTTTCCCATTCATGTTGTCTATATTTCATGTAATTTGCAAAGTTCCAGGGGAAACGTACTGGTGAACTGAGTCTTATTTTTAATCACCATATAAACAATTCTTAGACAATGAAATCTCAACAAAGTTCTTCTTACATTTTTTTTTGTGTAAAAATAATAACTACAAAAACATTCATCTGATTTATTTATCTGCTTTCTGGGATAAACTAGATATAGAAACAAGCCTGATATAATTTGGTGCATGATATTTCATTGTAGAAGAATAATCAGAAAGCTTTTTTAAAAGGTACCAGAAAAAGAAGGCTAGATCTGCAGAGAATACAGGTAATGATTTTAGGAAGGGAAGGTTGAAATCTAAAGAACAGGGCAAGATCACACAATAAATGGAAACCCATATCTACTGGGAAGAAGACATGAAAATGAAAGATGGAAAGGGAAAGGAAAAAACTAATAATTTATTTACTAATTCAGTCATTTAAAATTCTAATTTATGTACCAATCTATCCCACTCTATGTTGTGTGTAACAAAACTTTCATCAATACAACATAAAGACATGAAGTGCTTGAGCTTTGTCCTCCTCTCCCCTGGAAGCACTGAAGGATATTTTTATTAATCATTGCTCCTGCTTCAGATCTCCCTCTCCTGAAGGTGAGGAAGCAGTGAGAAAGCTGAGCAGGGGTCATTATTTTCATACTAGGCTCTGATCCTTTTCCTTCAGACTGCTACCAGAGATGGGTTTGGAGACATCTAAAGAGAAGTGAGCTCTATGGGGAATTTAATTTTACCAGAGCTTCCTGATCAGGTTAAAATAAACCAAACACCATTACTGCCTCCTCCTCCCCCCAAAAAAAAATCTCAAAAAAAAATTTCTTTCAGGATGCTTTCTTTTCATGATGTTGCCAACTGAAAAAGGGACCAAAAGAGCTATCGCTTGTGTGACTTCTAATCTTGGTCCATGTTGGCAGGGCATGCAGCCATAGAGCAGGGTGGTGAAGCAGTGTGAGCAGGGTGGTTCCCATCTGCTTCCCTGCAGAACTACACAGGCAGGGCTCTCGAGGAACTTTTGGGTCTCTTTTGATGTAACACACATAACACTGGACATCATGCTAGTCTTAGTTTTACGGTATGCTGTACTGCAACTCCAAATGCCACGTTAATGAGTTTAATCATCTTCCTTTCCTGCTATGCAGTTTGACCCCACTGTTTACACATACTAATAATCATATCACTTCATATTAGTGTATTCATTTATGCCTCCTATTAACATATATTTAATTGTAAACAGTATTTGAATACTCCAGTTAAAAATGTTATATTCACTCTTTAATATGGTTAAATAGTGATTTCAAAGCATTTTACTCCAATGTTTCAAATATGGAAGCCAATACACTCCAAGACTAAGTGAATCACCCACTTCATTAGCTTTATAGATGAGACTGAAACTCTCACCACAGTGATTTATAATCTAGCATTATCTAAATGCCTGCAGAGAGGATATACAACATAAAAATACTTGAGCTGAGATGAGAATTTCAGAGTAGAATCATCTAACACATTGTTTGATAAAACACAACAGGATTTGTTGAGGAACATATTTCATCAACAGCATATGAAACTTCATAGCAACATGACATATTAAAAGAGAACAGCCTTAGGAACAACTCACAACTACTCAAAGCCACAACAAATCATGTAAAAAGGCAAATTTGTGATCAGAATGGTCAACTCAACAGGCAGATTTTCTACAGTGGCCAGGTAGATCTATGTACCTACACCTGTTTAGATTGTAATGCTACACCTTAGCAATCTACTTTAAGGAAAACAAAATGCATGAGCATAAAATATGATTTGAACAAAAAGATTGGTTTTAAAGAGGTATTTAACCACTACATTGCCATATATGTACTGGAATCCTAACATAAATAAACCTGATTCAGAGTAGAATTTGATTACATTAATTTGCTGTATGTTTCCATATCTTAATTTTCCCTCAGGTTATTTTTTAGCTAGTTTTTTATGTTTAGAAGCATATTCTGTTCATATGTCATACCAGCTATGGCTTGTACAACATGTGTTTCATCCAATTTTAAGCTTCTCAGGCAAAAGATCCTTTAGCAGAGAATTGATATTTGTGAGCTCTGTAAATTTTGTCTCACTTTCAGTCCCATTTTCTTCAATTCAAATATATCATAAAACTGTCAATCTTAAACTGAAAATGTGAAATCACAAAGCATCCTGTACATGATTTATTAAAGTACATTGTTTTCTTTCAGTACATTCTTATTCTCACTCTATTAATTAAGATTGAAGGAGCAAGAGTGGTGTAGGAAAAAAGGTAAAAATGCCTGTTATTTCAGATGTTCTGAAATGTTAAGGAGGTCTAATCACAGAAATCTCTGAAAGATGAAAGTTACTAAGAAAAAAGAAGATGAGACAGTAAATGCATAGAAGTCTTGAATCCAGTTCTGTTACTTGAGAAGGTTTCTCTTAAGCTATAATATGAGGCATAGAGTCATATTTTTGAAATGGCACTTAAGATGCTGGCAAAGCATCCTGAATGCCAATTTCAGTTTTGAATTGACTATGATCAGAAGAATAGAGTGTATGGAAGGATACACCCCAGCTACAACTAAGGATACTGCAACTTTTGCAACATCTTTACTTTGAGAAGTGGACAGTATCAACAGAATTTGAGCTACAAAACTGGAAAGATACAGGATCAAGAAAGAAACAATAGATTTAATGGCAGGTACATGAGTGTCTATCGCAGGATCCCTGAAAGTATCTACATGACATTGCATCTTCTTTGTGTGTTTCCATAGAGAAGTAATTAATAGGGCTGAGATTACCACAGACAGTACTAGAGGAAAAAAGCAACCTACAAAGAAGAAGCAGGTAGAGATGCAAACTGTCCCAGTCGGTGATATGTGCTGTGCTATTTTCTCTACAGTTCCCCATTGAGCTGCAGAGGTAAGTGCTGGCTTTAATCCATAATAAAGGAAGAGAATTCACAGAAGAGATCACCAGTGATCCTAGAAACAGCCATGGGACCATTCCAGCTATTCTGAGTTTGATTTGCAGCAGCAGCCATTGGGTGACATTGATTATTTTTACACAGTAGAGTACACAAAGCCAGGTACTGAAGCACAAACTGGCAAGGTTTACAACCATCTGTACAGCACCAAAAGCTTTGTACACAGAAGCCAACTTAAACACATCCGCAAAGTAGAGACTATGAATGTGCATCAGTATGGTCACCTGCAAGATAAACCTTGATGTGCTCAGAAAGATCAGGATCATATCAGCAGAAGAAATTTTTTTTGCTCTTGATCCGGTTAATGATATTAACAGCTGTAATAAATCCATTTCCAATAAATCCAACAACAACTTCAATAGCTACAATACTTATTGAAATGATAAGAACTGGTGGCAACATCTTGCTGTTTTGGTCACCTCTGCCTGCTTGTGGGGCTGTGCAAGAAGTTGAGCAGACCTGATCGTATCTGACTAGCCCCAGCCCCAGTTTGCTCACCTTATATCTAGGAACAAAAAGACATCTGGAAATGATAGTTGAAAATGATTGTTGATGTTCTTCCTGAATGTGCAAATCAGAGGAGGATTTAATAATTAATTCTAACCTTTTACATGCATAAGATTTGCCTATGTTTTTCCCTAGGGATGTGAGTTCGCCAGCTGTATTAACCTCCCCATCTTTTGTCCTATTGTTTATATTCCTACCTAGAATGACAGAAAGCTCTGTGGCGCTCTGGTTACAGCTGTACCTGACAATGTGGAAGGACATGCATCATGCAACCCAACACAGCCAGCAGCATATGTCAATAGGCAGCAAGAGGTCTTCTATTGTAACTATTGTTTTTCATACTGCTTTGAAGGTCTATCAGTTAGAATTAGACCAATGAGTTGCAACCGTATTAACATGTAGAAAACCGTACAGCCTCCAGCCCTAATTAGGGGAGCACTCCAGACAGAAAAGCTGTATTTATCCAAGGGTTATAGCTCCATATAGCTGGCTACTTCTGATATGTTAGATCTAGTGTTGGTCACATATATGGGATCAAAAGATGGCAGTAACCACTTGTGTAATGGGGAGAGCAGTGACAACAGGCTAATGAAGCAGAGCATTCAATCTAGCAGAACTCTGTTAAGAGTCCCACCTTCTCCAGCTGCTTTCACTGTCCTGGCCTCTATCCCACCTGCATCCTCCAAAGTTTATTCTTCTAGACTGTAGATCTAGACCTGTTCTGCTTTATGGAGTGGAAGTCTGTTACCCATCTGCATACCTATATCAGCTTTGGCTAGATGCTGTAATAAGCATAGCAGTCCAGAACAGCGGGTGGGGCCCATCAATCTGCATCCTGCATTAGTGCTCATTTATAAATAAGCAAATTTATAAATGTCTGGATTTACAGAACAATGTGTCCTCACCTTTTCAACCCCAGTCCCATTAATGCAATCTGTGAATACTGTATTGGCACATTAATATTGTCAATATATTCTTTCCTGAATTAGAGAAATGTGAAACAAAATGTGAAGACTGACAACAGGGTAAGAAGCAGCCGAGACCTTCTGGCCACTGGAAAAAGTCTGGGAGATCTTTGGCAGTAAAATATTTATTGTTTTTGTGGGAAGATCAACATATACTTCTGGAGTCCATTTCTCAACAGAATAAAATGACTGAAAGTGAAAGGTAGACCAAGTTCTAATCTGAATGTGGTAAAAACTGCCAACTGGATTTACTGTTTACCATTACCTCCAGGTTTCAAAGTTTTGTTGAACTGTTCAGCAGAGAAAAAGCTAACTTAAATTTTATATGAATTTAAGTTAGTGAAATGAAAAGATGAATTTTAAAACTCAAAAGCTTTTGTTTCTGTCAATATTTCATTCATATTAAATTTACATTTCAGTTTAGGTTCTAGTAATCACAAGGACTAGTAGATTTTTTTTCTTAAAAAGTGAGCATACTGTATTCATCATAACAATGCAAATGTAAAAAAAAAGAAAGACACATTTACAAAATATTTTGTATCAGTTCCAGATTTTAGAAAGCCCAAGGGGAAAAAAACCAAATAAATAAACAAATCTAAACTAAGAATACATTGGCATTTTTACCATGTTCTTCACCAAAAGTATTCAAAATAGTGGAAAAAGCACATCTTATTAAGGAAAAGATGATAAAGGAAGTACAACTCAAAGCCTATGGTGTGTTTTAAAGTTATAGACATAAAGCTTCCTGTACACAGAATATGCATTACATAATTACAGTTGTCAGTTACCTCAAAAATGTAGTCATTAAGTTACTCAAGGGAACATGACAATAGCACTTTTTTTATGCATTTATAAAAAATAGCACTGCAATTATAAAGTAGAAGACACTACAATAGAAGATACAATCTAGAAAAATGCATGACTAAAATGGATTCTTAGCTGTTCCAACAGTTACAAAATTCTATTCTATCTTCATATATACTACCAAAAATGAAAATTTTAGACAACCATATCTAATCTTTACCTACCCATTTCATTTTCCTCTGAGCAAGGTCAAAAATGGGAGTAACTACTTGAGACACAAAAGAACTTTCCTGTCTTGAGAACTCCCACTGGTTCTGTGAGAAAGAAGCCATCACACAACCTGTGCACCCTGGTGGTATTTAAGTCCGCATGACTTAAGTAAACCAAATAGCCTGTCCCTCAGTGCTCTGTCAGTGACCTATGTCTAACATGGTCTGCTCCCAGGAATGGCTTCTATATAAATATTTCTCTTGCTTTTTTCTCCTAGTAGCTCAAGAGCTTCCTGGTGGACTGTCATCTTAGAGGTTCTCCAAAGGATAATGGGTCTACTCATGGATGCTGTGACACATACCTCCAAGCACCAAGATACAAAAGGCCAGTTTATGGGTGACAGCAACCAGGACATGACCATATCTGATGCTGGCTCTAATTTGTGGCCAGGTTGTCCACTGGAGTTCATCATAGTCTCACCTTCTGGTATGCAGCTCCATGAATTCTTTTGTTCCCCTTCTTGCCCTTTCCCAACCTCACGACTTAGTTGCAACATGCTTTTGCAGAAATCTACATGAAGATACTAAAGGATGGGGGCAGTGATATGATCTGCATAAATTAACCATGGCTATAGGGCATGTGCACTGCAGATAAGCCAGACCAGAAGGTTTTTACTGAGTGTCACAAATATGTGCGCTTTAGGTGTCATGCCCAGTATACCAAGCTGTGGTGACAGTGTAAAATGAGACAGGAATGGGTCACTGTGTAAATGTGCATAGTGCCCTTCAGTCTGGGGAACTTCTCTGAAGAAATCCTTGACAGCAACCTGAAGGAGATGTAGAATTGATCTCACAGTGCTGGAAAGAAAAAAAAAAAAGACTACAAGGTAGTTCAAGTTGTTTCTATTCTCACAAGTCTTAAATTCCCAAATTTGTAACAGTGACTTGCAAATGTACAGATTTGGAGGTGAATGGAATGTAGTTCAGAAGGATGCTGCATGTCAAGAACTTCATGCTGTGGTCACAGAAGTTTTGGTCCTCAGACAGTATTTGATATCATGAAGAATCCTCAGCTTAATCTATTTCTATTTAGAATAAATTATGATGAAAATAATGACAATTACCACAAACAATTAGAAATTAACTAATACTTGGATTGTAGGTGTCGCTGATGTCTGAATTATTTAGTCAGGAAATATCAACATAATCTTAGCAGCAAAACCAGAAATCAGTATTTTTAAAGACTTACACAAGAACATGTCCTTGGGTGTATGAAATCAGACATATAGATTCACTTTGGTTCCACAATAAGACCAGCAGTGATCTGGATGAATTATAATACAGAAAATAAGGTACTCTGTACCGTACAAGGAAAGATATAAACAGCTTGCACAACCCAGATAGGGTGGCCACATTAACGTTCTTTAGTAGACTTCCTTTTTAGCTACAGAGTTAATGGTCAAAATCAGAGCAGGTTTAAATGGCAGAGGAGACACAAGACACCCTCGAATATGTCAGAGTTCCTTGAATTTATCCTCTGGTGAATTTAAAAAAGCAGGTGAGCCACAGAGTAAAGCAGAGACTAGCAATTCTTAAAAATAATAATAGGACAATGTTAGCATGAGACAAATAGTAACTACTAGAAAGAAGTGTCTGAATTTACACAATATTTTCCCTTGCAAGGTAAATTACACTGTACTCAGGGAAGTCAGGTTCAGCTCAGAGGATAGCAGCTTTCCTTTTTTGATCCATGCATTCTGATTAACAACGGTAATAAATACATTTTGCACAATCCCTACAACGGTTTTAATTGTTGAAGTAGTTAGAAACATTATTACGACAGAGCAAACAGTTTCCGACTCTTGTAAAACACTGCCTGTTCAGCTCATACAGAAATGCACAAAGCACCAATTAACTGGTATCTGGTTAATCTTTTGCATTTTACTGTGAGCAAGAAGTGTATGAATATGACACTGGAAGATTTATTTCTGGTATTGTTCAGGAAGATGCATATCTTGGAAATGTCGCTGATGACTCTTCCAACTCTTCCAACTACAGCCACTCTTTCATAATTTTTAGTGAAAAGTAATTGTCTATGGCTGGATTGCGGATAGGAAAATTTAGAACATGTTCATTAGGACTGGCTTTTTCTTCTCATAAAGTTGTTGCTACTATTTTTTGAAGCAAGAACTTTGCTTTTGGTGTGACATGACAGGTACTCAGACTGCCACTACCTTTTGTAATCCTCACTCATCTCTGCATGCTGAAATGTGTCGTTTGGTGCCCTCACCAACACCAATCCAAATTTGGATCAAATTTCAAAATTTAAAGTTTGGTAATGCAATAGCTCCAGCACATTCAGGGAAAGAAAAGAAAACCAAAACCAAACCAAACCAAACAAACAAAAAAACCCAACCCAACAGGTTAGAGATGGATTTCTAGAAAGTCTGTGTAGCTGAACTCCCTTCCAACCTGAGCGCCAGGACACATGGATGTGTAAAGGCTAGTCTGTGACTCAGTGAAATGGGGATGAGGTTAGGGTGCTTATCTGAACATGAGTGTGCGGAAGCAGTCCCAATTCTGACAATTTAAATTTAACTTGTCTCCTGTCTAAAAGCAAAATAATACACAATTGTAATCCTGGAATTCCATTTTGCAGAGAGAAAAATCTTGGAAGAGAAAAATCTCTACACGAACGCACGCAGCATGGGGAACAAACAGGAGGAGCTGGAAGCTGCTGTGCTGCTAGACAGCTACGACCTGATTGCCATAACTGAAACCTGGTGGGACAAATCCCACAACTGGAATGTGGCTATTGATGGCTACAGGCTGTTCAGAAGGCACAGGCGAGGAAGGAGGGGCAGAGGCGTTGCCCTCTACCTAAAGAAATCATTACAGTGTGATGAGCTGTCCCTGA